AATATATGATACAAAATTGGAGATAGGGTGATTGGTACAAGACTGTTTACCTTTCCGAACAACAATAGGTTGATCAAGATCAAAGTCCGTAGAGACGGAAGAATCTCCAGGCGTTGAAGCGACTAGTGGTAGTGGCTAGGCTGGGTTTACCACTTTAGTCGTTGGAACATGATTAACTACTAATTTCCGAAAAAAAAATATGATTAACTACTCTTTTTCGGCGACGAGCATAGACACAAAAAGCTGGTGGGATGTCAGAATAAAAAACTGGAGTTGGAAGAACAGACTCTTGAAGAACAAAGTCCTCCAGAGGATTGCCTTCGTGGGAATAATAAGGAATATCCTCAAAGAAAGTTACATCTGCACACACAAATTGTTTACGAAGAGTTGGACTGTAACATTTATATCCCTTTTAAGTGCTAGAATAACCTAAGAAAGTACATTTGTGAGCACGAGGATCAAGTTTGTCTCGTCCTGGACTTAGATTATGAACAAAACAGACACACCCAAACACCTTTGGAGGAATGGAAAAAGGATTTTTGTCAAAAAAATCATTTGGAAGGGTGATTTTCCTTGAAGGACCCTAGAAGGCATGTGGTTTAAAAGTTAAGCAGCAACCAGAACTGCGTCTCCCCAAAAATGTTTTGGAATATGCATTTGAATTATTAAGGCACGATTGATAGCTAGGAGTAGGCCATTCTTTTGTTTAACAACTCCATTTTGTTGCGGGATATCAACACAAGATGTTGATGGATAATGCCCCTCGACTCAAGAAATTTTTGAAAAACATTAAGTTTATATTCAAGGGCATTGTCAGTTCTAAGAACAAGTAAATTTGCATCAAATTGATTTTGAATTTCAGCATAAAAGGATTGAAAGATAGAGAATATTTGAGATATATCTTTAAGAATATAAACCCAAGTTAAACGTGAATAATCATCAATAAACGACACAAAATAACGATTACCAAATAAACCGGTAGTACGAGCTGGTCCCCAAACATCCGAATGTACTAACTCAAAAGGTTTTAAACTTTTATTTTCAAAATGAGACTTAAAAGAGAGCCCGACGATGTTTACTAAGTTCGCAAGTAGTACAATTAAACTTAGTAAAATAAATTAAAGAAGGGACCAATGCTCGAAGACTATTTGAAGAGGGATGTCCAAGGCGGCAATGCCACTGGTAAGTTGAAGAGGAGGTGGAATGTAGAGCTGTCGGGGCAGTAGTTGGCTGGAAGTAGTAAAGACCATCAAACCCCCCGCCAATCGTCTTCTTCGTCTTGAGTACTTAAAGACACAACGGGAAGGAGAAAAAGTAACTGAGTAATTTAAATTTGATATGATTTTGCGAATTGACAATAAATTGAATGAAAATTGAGGGATATATAAAACTGATGAAAAAGTGAGACCCGAAGTGCGGAAGGTACCAATTCCATGAACAAGTGATCTGGCACCATTCGCTATAGTAAAAACCGATGGTGAGAAAACATGAGAAATATCAGAAAGAAGAGATGGGTTACTTGTCATGTGATCGGATGCCCCTGAATCAATGGTCCAAGGTGTAGAAGATAAAGCATGGAGACACGTATTACCTGAAGTAACGATAGTAGTGGTGGAGGAGTGCTGATTTGTACGCTCACGCTTTACCAGAGAATCATATTTGGCTTTGGTGAGAACGACTTGTTCATTCGCAGGAGTGGGAGTAGTCTACTCCCAAACCGAAGCTTGATTAGCCCAAGCTAGCTTGCCATGAAGAGCCTAGCAGAAGTCAATAAAGTGATTGTTTCGGCCACAATGAGTACACTTCTTGCTGCCGCGACCCCCTCTGCCACGAGTAAAACGGCTTGGGTTGGAAGGACCCCCTCGTCCTCCACAGAAAGTATCATGTCACTCAATAGGAACAAGAAGAGCAGAGTGGTTGTCCTTCTCAATCAGAGGGGCATGAATAAATGCTCTTTGAACTTAAGCAAAAGTCTCACTTGCTGTGGGTATCTCCTTGCCAGACAAAATCTGCGAACTGATCGGAGCGAGTTCGAGTTTAAGTTCAGATAAAAATTTTGCCACCCGAAACTCCTCCCTGTGCCGTTTTTGTTGTTCTATGTCTGTAGTTAATGGTTAGTAGACATTCAATTCTTCCCAGGTGCCCTTTAGTTCTGAGTAAAATAATCTAACGATCTCCGTGCTGGAGATTAAAAATATTCTAATATAACTGATAAATACGAGACATATTCTTCTCTGAAGAATACATGTCCCTGAGATATTCCCAGATATCTTTGGCAGATTCTAGGAATGACACGTTGTTGAATATCTCAGGCTCCATGCTTTTCCATAACCAAGTTATAATCTGAGCATTTTCTTTCTCCCAAGCCGTAATAATCTTTTCATCATTGGTGGGTTTGGTTGATTTAAGATAGGACAGTTTTCCTCGAGTCCGTTAGAACACTTCTACGGATCGAGACCATTGAAGGTAGTTTGAGCCTTTTAGTTTAGTGCTGGTGATTGACCTAAGAAGATGGGATTCCTTAGTATCCATCACAAGAGTTTCAGAACAAATGAGATATAGTAGCGAGCGGGAGCCGAGATAAGAGAACCAAGATCTAGCTGAGATGAACCCGAGAGAAATTATCGAGGAGGGATCCGAGAGAGATTGTCGAGACGAGAACTGAGATCACCTAGGAGAGATTGCCGAGAAGAGATTGCTAAGAGAAAGCTGAGATGGAATCAAGATCGGAGAGTTTGAATGATACTAAAAAAAATAAAATTAAAGAGGGATCGATTTCCGCTCTAATACCATGGTGAGAGAGAGAGAGAGAGAGAGAGAGAGAGAGAGAATATATGAAAACGTATATGTTATTGAGTTGTTAATGCAATAATACAATGGTGTTTATATATGAAAAGTTACGGGAGTAGGTGAGTGGAAAATAAGTAAACCCTCTACATGGTAATTCTATATATGGTAATGAGAGGTAGGTGACAACTCATACAATAGTAAGCGTACACGTGTGACAACTCATACAATAGTAAGCGTACACGTGTGACAACTCATACAATACTATACAACGTGACACTACTAAGTTACTAACTGTACATGTGTGACAACTCATACAATACTGTACAACATGACAACTCATACAATACTGTACAACACCTAACATATAAGGGTGATTGCACACTCCATTTTAATGCATTTAAAAGCCGCGAGGGAAACCTAAAGTGGACAATATTGTTGGTTGTGGTGGTGGGTCCGGATAGATCTTGACAGGCCTGTACAAGGAAATTCCACTTTGCACCATATATTGAACAACAGGTTCTCCACATCCCTTAGCTCCTCCACTGGAATGAGTTTGTTCCTACTAAAGTTCACACAAAGACCAGACACCACCTCAAAGAACATTCGACATGTATCAGACGTGTCAAACTTGTCGTCATTATGCCATTAATAATATCATTAGTGGACAACAAATAAGATGGTCGTATAAACTCCCTTCTTGTCATCAACTTGGAAGCCACTAGGCAAAACCCTCACTACAGTTCTAGTAAGTGGTTTCATCACCGGGATAAAACAAAATAGCGCTGATTATGGGTCCCACTGTGATAGACCCTCTAGGCTCGAGAAAAATTCCTTAGAATAGTTTCTCACCAAGGCAAAAGACTGGCATCCCCTATGACTTGATCCTTGGCCCTTATCGATGCTTGAACTTACCCTGCTCATTGTCCTAAATTCCTAATAATAATAGTGACTAGAAAAGATAAGATTACAAATCAAAGTGTGAGGAAGCAATTAGGGGTGACGCCTGTTAACAATAAAATAAGAGAAATTGGACTTAGGTGGTATGGACATATACAACTTAGACCTATAGATGCATCAGTAGGAACAGGAAGATTAGTTTGCTAATAAGATAAGAGATAGAGAAGTGGACCAAAACTAACATGGTATGAACTTATTAGAAATAATTTTAAAAAGTTAAATATAATAAGAGAAATGGTTTGTAACAGAAAGGAATGAAAAAAGAGAATTCATAAGGTTGACCCTATTCATGCAAGACTAATGCAAGGAATGATGATGATGAATATATGCTGCAGTATGCAAGTACTTTATCTGGGTACTTGCTAACCAAGGCCAAAAAACTGCTTGTGGGATAGCAAACCTCCATCCACCTCTATTTAGCCCCAAATCCTATTTTTTCTTTAGTAGTTTCTGGAGGAATCCTCTATGACATGATCGTTGGCACTTGGCCCTTTTCGATTTTTAAACTTACCCTGCTCATGTTCCTAATCATAGGAGTGACTAGAAAGATAGTATTACCGATCAAAGTGTCAGAAAGAAATTACTTATTAAAAAAAAAGTGAGAAAGAAATTAGAAGTGGTGCCTATTTATGACAAAATAAGAGAGTGGACTTAGGTGGTATGGGCATATACAATAAAGACCTATAGATGCACCAATAAGAAGAAGAAGATTAGTTTGCAAAGAAAGTAAGAGACAGAAGTCGACCAAAACTACATGGGATGAAGCTATTAGAAATGATTTTAAAAACTTAAATATAATTGTAGAATTGGTTTGTAATACAAAAGAATGAATAAAGTGATTTCATAAGGCTGACCCTATTCATATGGGACTAAGGCAAGGATGTTGATGATGATAAATATATGCTGCTGCATGCCAATACTTAATTCTGGGTAGTTCAATCCATAGGCTTAAAGCATCAGATACAATGTTTGTCCCTACATTATAACTTCCAAAATATTATGGCTCACGTCATGTTTCCTTTCCAGTAGGTACAATACAATTATTTTTACTTATCCCCTCAGTACCTAACATGGCTTGTTTTTTTTTTTGTGGCTAGCATAGCCTCTGAAGGCTATATTTCGTGTGGATATTAAGTGGGAAGAATAAGATAACAAAATAGCGAGCTAAGATTGCATACTGTAAATATGGTTCTATATTGCATTTATAACTATTTAAAATTTTGGATCTCTAAAATGTTTCTGTGGCTAGTCAGTCAGAAATTACAAGGAAGTTGGATACGACTGTGAGTCTTGAAAAGGAGGAACCAAAAAGTGAAGGCAGTGGTTTACTCTCAAGATTGGAAATTACACATGGAGAGCATCCTTTGAGTCTTGGGAAGACCAGCGTTTGGAATCAGTTCTTTCAGGTAACACCTTGTTATGTTTGGTTGACATCCTTGAGACCTCAGATTTTGTCTTTGTTGAGCAATTTGGAATGCATGTTTTCTAACTTTTTTCCCCAGTAAATGCACATTTTTAAAATTTTTCATATTTTCAGTGGGTCTCCATTAAGATCTAATACTCAAAACACATTATTTGTTCATTACCCAGTGGCGTACTGTACTCTTTGGACCCTCTTCTCATAAATAATAGAAAGGGAAAGGATGAATAGGGTGAAAGGTTCTGAGGATATCTTATTGTTTTATTTATTTGTTTATTTTTTACTGGGTTGATGTTATAAACTATGTAACATTCTGTGAACAATTTATAAATTGTTCGTTCATACCTCACTGCATACTTTCACATCAATCGTTTATTAATATCCACCTCCATATTCTCACTTATATCTAAATCAACCTTTTGCATCACAAATGTCATTGCCATAGTATCTGCTGGTGCTGGCATAAGTATGCTATATCTTGCAGATGATGCCACATCTATATTACGTCAATGTTGTAGCTGTCTTGGTCGTCCCATAATATATCTGGAAACATAGTTGTGGGCCTTTTCAATTATGTGTGAATTCCCAAACCTTATGCAGTTTTGCATAAATACAATGGTAATATCTGGTGTATGTGCAGCTTAATATATATATATATATATATATTTGCGCGTGTGTGTCTCTGGTTCATGTGCAGTAGTTTATGAAGTTATGAATGACTTGATTCTATTGGCAATTTATAGGACACAGAGATCATAGAGCAGATTGATCGGGATGTGAAGCGCACTCATCCAGACATGAACTTTTTCTCTGGAGACACATCATTTGCAAAATCCAATCAGGTGAGTTCTTGGTATTAGGTGTGAGATTTGTTAAACTCAAGCAATTTGGCTGAGTCAAGTATATCTCTTATTTTCAGGAGGCTCTGAAGAACATATTGATTGTATTCGCAAAGTTGAATCCAGGAATACGATATGTTCAGGGGATGAATGAAATTCTGGCACCTCTGTTCTATGTATTCAGAAATGACCCTGACGAAAATAATGCAGTAAGTAATTTTTTTCCCTTCAATTTTTCGAAGTATTTTGACTTCAACACAAACCACTTCCCTCAATCTTTATACTTTCTGAACAAAAATGCATTTTTATGCTTTGTTTTACTTGAGTTGTACTATTGAATTTCAGCATAACTTGTATCCTAAATTAAGCCATTTATAACAACAGTTAGGTTCCCAGCAATATAATAGTTTTTTTTTTATTTTTTATTATTGGTGCTTTTGTTTTTTGGCTAATGCCATCCTGGTTTGAAGTTTAGTACTATATGCTTTTATAGCCCTTTTTCCTATAGGATTGTGGAAGGAACTTATTCATTTAACTATTCTTTGTATTCACGGAAATAAGAGTTTATTCCTTTATTCTCCTAGAAGTATGCTTGTAGCCTTTTAGGTGCAGATATCTTTTTAGTGCTCAACATTTCCAAATTTTGTATTATATTAGATAGAGCTTTCTTTTCCAAAGATCTGAAGGAATTGTGTATATTATTTGGTATTTTATCTAGAATCCGGTAAACTGTTGCTTCACCTAGTAGTCATATACTGAGCCTAATGTCACGGGCCTAGAGATTTGGCGCAGCGGCACGGCCTGTGCGGCACCAAGGCGTTGCTTCAGCTCGCGCAAGCGCCCTGGTCAGCCACCACGACCTGCCCTCCCAAGGATACATGCTGACTGGTTTCGGCCTGCCATGGCCTCGTCAGGGGAACGGCTTCAGCTCCCGACCAGTTTGTGCAGGGATGGCCAACTCCCTTCTTCATAGTCAAGTCCAAGACTAGCGACAAGCACCTCGAACTGAACCGAGTCGACCTGCCTGAACTCTGAAGAGGTACCATCCTGTGGTCCTGCACGCCCCTTCCCTGGAACCATTCCCAGTCAATGAATGTTCTTAGCCAACCAGCATGCGTATCTTCTATGCTCATGGCGTCGTTAGGAATCGGATCGTGACATTCTCCCCCACCCAAATCCTGCGACGCCCTCGTCGCAGTGCAGCGCTGACTCCGCTGCGTCCAACATTCCAAAGTCTCTCTCCTCCAAGTGGTATGCTCGCCTGCCCACCATCGCTTCCTTGTACAACCCTTGGCTGCACTCGCCCAATGATAGGGTTTCGGGCTAAAGGGACGCCCACTTCTTCGGGACGCAACCCCACGTTATGCCGCCTCCGCGACACCCCGAGCAAACAAGCGCCCTCCTGCTGACTTGATACCCGCCCTTCACAATGGTTTGCACGCCTCTTGAACTTGCAAGAACTTTGGTGCGCGCGGCCCTCTGGCCATCCGATGCGCGCGGCCCTCCGGCCTAAAGGACGCGTCTTCATGGGGAGATGGAGGCTCTCCTCCAACAGTATTGATTGCCCACCGACGCTTTTTCAGTGCACCGTCTTCATTCTCAAGACCCCCGGATCGACAAGGGGGCACTCCTCTGTGCTTTTCCCCAAGTCATGCTCTGATACCATTTGTCACGGGCCTAGAGATTTGGCGCAGCGGCACGGCCCGTGCGGCACCAAGGCGTTGCTTCAGCTCGCGCAAGCGCCCTGGTCAGCCACCACGACCTGCCCTCCCAAGGATACATGCTGACTGGTTTCGGCCTGCCATGGCCTCGTCAGGGGAACGGCTCCAGCTCCCGACCAGTTTGTGCAGGGATGGCCAACTCCCTTCTTCATAGTCAAGTCCAAGACTAGCGACAAGCACCTCGAACTGAACCGAGTCGACCTGCCTGAACTCTGAAGAGGTACCATCCTGTGGTCCTGCACGCCCCTTCCCTGAAACCATTCCCAGTCAATGAATGTTCTTAGCCAACCAGCATGCGTATCTTCTATGCTCATGGCGTCGTTAGGAATCGGATCGTGACACTAAGGTAAATGGCATAGCGGTAACTATAATTTTGAATTATACTCTCTTTTTAGGTACTTCATTTTGTTTTGGTGGATTGACGTGGATGTCATACCTACAATTTTACAACATATAGACTTAAAAAGAAACGGTTTATAATCCTTCTTTGACCTGAGTGGTTTCTTTATTAGTTTCACATTGAGCTCGCTTTTCTTTTAAAAGTTTCAGAGTTCTGAAAAATCCTTCAGAGTCAAGAGGATAGACATATTTGTGCTTTCTTGTTTTTCTTCAAAACATGTAAATAAATTTTCTTCTACAGTTAGGCCCACTTTGCATATATCACTATAGTTAGTTTAGTCGTAATGTAGATGATTAATCCTCCTTGGAAGAGGTTTCTGATTATTTAGTATGTTTTTATTTGTCACTAATTTGTTTCATCACGTCATTCATGGGGGCTTGCTTAATTGATCTATCTCAAATTAACATATTTTCTAGATTTTCTAATTTTCATCCTATTTTTGTCTTCTCGGCCGCACTTTACTCCTGAAAACTTCTCCCAGAATTTTAATTAGTTTTTTATTTTATATTTTTTTAATTTTAATTTATTTTTATAGAACTTTCTTCTAGATTGATCTGCATAACATACAAATTGAACCTCACTTTTTTCTTTTTCGGTGGTGTATTATCCACTTAACTCTTATGCTGAAAACAACAAGCACTCCAATCTTGTAGATGTTAAAGTTGAGCTATTAAATTGATCTTAAAGCAAAATTTAGTATTTGTTGACCACCATCTACTCTAAAAGCATAAGCTATTATAGAGGGTGTAACTTTAATATTTAAATCCTTCAACAGTATCTATATTAACCATTTCCTTACTGAGAGTATTGTAGCTAACATATGGCTAGTATAGATATGTTAAAGGTCACCTCACTTGATTTTCGTGGAAGATTACAAGCAGGTGAATAGGAAGGGTTGAATTCCTAAAAAGTAAAAGGCAGAATCACTCGACTCTTACCTTCTTACCCTGAAAGTGTGTTTGTTCCCTACTTCCATAGACTCCATTGAATTGTAAGAGAGGGATGGCAGCCTTCGTCACCCCCCTTGGGCCCCAAAATTCCAACTTGGTATGTAAGTTTTGTAGTTTGGAAAACTAGAAGTGGCAAGTTGACGGTTCCACATATACCAAAGGTCCAAAACTAGATAGGACATCTCATAAACTAAAGTTTTAACTTTATGCTTTTGCAGATACCTCTATTTACTTATGCAGATTTCATTCTCTTGACAATCTACCTTCCTTACTATTAGGCGTTGATGTTAAATAAATTGATGTGGATGTTCACAGTTTAATACTAAGTTTTGTTATAAAGGTCGTGCTTCGATATAAAAGTAGTCCAAGTTGATTAGGGTTTGTTAGGGGATGGGAGTAGAAGCAAATCACGTCTGTTCAGGGACTGTTTTAGCATGGTGAATAGAGATGACTTTAAAGCAACTTTATTTATTTATTTATTTTTCTAAATGGAAGGAGGGGTGGATTTCTGGGGATTATTTTTTGACAAAGAAAAGAATTGGGCTTATCAATTAGGATTTAAGGTTGCAAAATATTGTTTAAGATTTGTTGCAGATTAACAATAAATTTTCATACGACTGAGAGGAAGACCCAGGTTTCTCAACTAGAATCCTTAGGCTTCACCGCTCAAAGATCGCTTCTGCAATCTTGAATTCTTCGAACCTAACTCAAATCTCAAATCTCAAATCTCAAATCAGTCATGTATTTTGTAGACTGGTGAATTTTTTCTGCTTTTACCAAACTTATGACTCAAGTTTGAGACTTTGACTGTGTAAGGGTATGATTATCTGGGCGAATTGGATGACGTAAAATGATTCACACTCACAGCCAGGAAAAAGAAACAGACAGAGGGATGGGTGGAGGGTGAGAGAGAAGGCCAAAATGTATCAAAAAGGGTAAGGGGCTAACTGAATATTCTGCCTCTTCCATCAGGACTGTGCAGCTATGTGCAGCTATTTATAGAGCTTCTGGCACGTGTCCTGGCAGATAAGATCCCTTGTGCTGCAATGAAGTTGTGCCACATGTCCCTCTTTTCTACCTTTTTGGTTTGGACGCGGATGTCCCCTCCCATTGGGGCTGCGGGCATCTTATTTGACCCATACCATCCCATTCCAACGAGCCCTTCTCCCAATCCTCCATGCACCAGCGGACCCTCCACCGTGTTTGGCCCATGACATTCCACAACTAATGTCTCACCAGCCGCTTGGACCATAGAACCATGCGCTCTGCTACTAAGCCTACTATTAACATGACACATGCTTAGGCTCAAAGGAGTTTTCCTGAGTGGATTGAGGGGTACCACAGCATACCATGGGCCCAATCAACTGAGGAAAACTAGTGTGAGCTGGGGCACGATTTTGCTGTCATGGGGGATATCTCCATGGGCTACAGGTCTCAACGTGGATTTGCGTCCCGAGATGACCCCCATCGGACTGTCTCGGTGGTGTCATAATGGGTGCTCATCCCATTGCAACCGCGCTTCCACTCTTATTTCTTTAGCCAATATACCCTCTCGACCCTGGGGGTGTGCCATGAGTTTCCCTTCCCTTTTCCTCTTTCCAAATTCCCCTGCCATCGAGTCTTTTGAAATGGGATATGGGGGAAGATTTCTATAGACACATCCGCCTAAGACCTCACGGAGTCTATGGAAGGCAGCCCCCTTGCTGGCCTCTCATTCCTGCTGCAGACAACAAGTGCCCTGTGGGTATTCACTTCAGCCGTGGGTCATAGATGTCCTGCAGGTAATCTGCCTTAGCCACGGGTCATTGATGTCCCGCGGGTAGCTTTCTTTTGTTACGGGCTCCCACTTCCCACAGGTGTCCATAGCTTCCTATTTTCCTTATCTTCCCTTACAGACTGCTAGGATCAGTTTGGAATTGCTAAAGGTCACAAATAACAAACAACAATCTCGTAAGTACCCAAAATTTGACCTATCTAGCTAGGGCTGCAAATGAACCAAACTGCTCACGAACAGCTCGGGCTCGGCTCGTTAAAAGCTCGGCTCGGGCTCGCTCATTTAGTAAACGAGCCAAGCCCGAGCTCAATTTTCAGGCTCGTTTAATAAACGAGCCGAGCTTGAGCAATGGTAAGCTCAGCTCGCCAAGCTAGTGAACAGGCTCGTTTAGTTATCAGGCCTATATTTCAAAATTTGTTACTAATGTTTAGCCCAAACACTTGAGTTTATCTAGGTCCATGTAGTTGTTTGGTTTTATAAACTTAAACTATATCCATTCCTGAAGGCCACAAGCTAACAAGCCCAATAACCCATGTATTTATCACAACCGTTGGATTACTTACACTTATGTTGTACATGTTATAACTATAACAAAATAATAGAAACCCAAACATATTCAAGTCGGCTGCCATCAGACCTCTCAATCCATCCACCACATATTCAAGTTGGCAGCTACTCTACCGGCGACTCATGCGACAATCTTACCCAACAACAACTACTACAAGGTTATTACTCTCCGTCTCTCAACCATGTTTTCACTCTCTCTAGCCATTTTTTTTTTTCTTCTTCTTTTGTTGGAGTTATGAAAGGATGAAAATTATAGATTCTTGGACCATAATGAGATTAGAGAAAAGGGTTGAACTGACCCTTGTTACTATAAAAGAAAGAGATCGAAGATTTGAGGGTTTGCGGAGATTTCGATTATTGAGAATTTGAGAGGTTTATTTCTGGAATGTGAGCTTGAGCTGAGCCGAGCCCGAGCTCGTTCAAATATTGGCGAGCCGAGCTCAAGCTTGGGTAAGTTGAGCTCGCCCGAGCCCGAGCAGCCTTCTGAACTTGGCGAGCCGAGCCCGAACACACCAAAGCTCGGCTCGGCTCATTTGCAGCCCTATATCTAGCATATTTGAAAAATATTAAATACTTTGATTCCTAGAAAATAACAAGCCATAAATTAATTATCCAGCAGTATGCTAACTTAAAATAAACATAATGTCAAAACTGGACTCTTCCCGTATGACTAGATTTAATGGGTTCCATGTGACATTACTAATTTGCCCCCTTTTTTCATTGTACCATTCTTTGCATCACCAGTACAAGGTTGCGAATGTATAGAATTCTGTAATTTAAAGAATACTTTTATAAAAAAGGGAATATAAATTTGAGAAGGGGAAAACAGAGTCAACAGACACCTGCGTTCACATGGGCAAGACAGCTATTTTATAGAAAAGTTCAAACAAATATCTTGCATTATCAAATAAAAAGAAAAAAGAAAAAAAAATAAATTGTTCTTACTTACAGTTGGTCAAAAAAGTTGTTTCGACACATCATTAGTATAAATTCCTTTCACCTGCCATAAAAGGTACTTACCTGTAGGTATATTAGTTTTCTAGTCCGTATTCTTTTTAAGTCATTGGTATTAAAAATTAGCTACCTAGATAATTGGCTAAATCATCTTCTCTCACCACCCTTTTCGCTGTTCTCTTCTTTATCATCGATGTAATTCAATGTCTTCCTCATTGCTTTCTCTCTCTCTCTCTCTCTCTCTCTCTGTGTGTATATATATATATATTCCCAATAAATCATATTCAATAATATTAGTATTTCTCAAATTTTTGGGTCTGTAACATGTTATATTTCTTGACCATTAGAATTGCATTTCCTATTTTGTTTTCATTTCTCTGAAATTATCTGAAATTTGGAGAAAGAATGGGGATGGGGAGGTGTAAATTTAACAAGTACATGTTTAAAAAAATCGTTGCTGCCAATAAATAGCTATCTAAGCAATAAGTGTTCAGTGGTTACATCTCCTTTCTCTTTAAAGAAAGAACTTCTGATCTAATTCTGAAATGAAACACAGAACATTGGGCAGATCAAATGATCTGTGGATTGTAAACTTGCACTCTAATTTGAAATTGGGACAGTGAAGCTTGGCCAAAAGCTTTTTACTTGAGGTGTAGCAAAGTTGGTACATAGGTTGAACTGTTTGGTGATGAACTCCTTATTTGTTGGCTATCACGAGTCACTTTGTCTAGACTGTTTCATAGAGTTCTTAAGTGGCTTAAGTTTGGTGGATGGGGATTTGGTGTGCCTTGTATAATTTTCCATACATGGTTCTCCCGTGCATAGTTAGTATTCCGATAAACTTTTACTTATCAATAATAGCTCATACCCTGCCTAAGGTTGGGTAGGTTTAGGTTGATGCTGTATAGTGTCTCCTACTCCTCTCCCGCTACGAGTTATTTTTTGATCATTCCCTCATGCATGTTTTAGAAAGTGTTTCAGTCACTCCAGTAGGTATATTGATTATTTGATATATGAAACAGGGCAATTTACAAACAAAAAGAGGTCAGGCCGAGAGGACCTATTTGAACAAGCTGACCAGCAAATCGACCCTTAACCCAACTTAGCGAGTCTCTCTAGTATTATTTCATTAAATAGCTTCCAATTTACTAATGGGCCAGTGACCCAGCGGTACCAAACCCCTACTTTTCAAAGGTAGGTTAGGGGTTCAAGCCTTAGTGGAGGCATGGGGGTGTGAGTACCAACTAAAAAAAAAAAAAAAAAAAAAAAAGCTTCCAATTTAGGTTTTGCTAGCTATTTGAATTATAGTTGCCAGAAACGAAAGTGGAAGTAGCCGTTTTAAACGAAAGTGGGTGATTTGGATTTGAATTAAATTCTTATAAGCAAACAGAACTTTTAAAGAAAGTGGGTGATTTGGAATTGAATTCAATTCTTATAAGCAAACAGAACTTTTAAAGACACCAGGTTAAATCAATATAAGATAGTAGAAAACTTGTGTAATATATTTAAATGTTAATATTAGGAAATAATTAAAGAGTTTGTTTAGTTTAATCATTGAGGAAATAGGCTTCAAGAGTGTAGAAAAAAAGAGAAAAATTATGAGAAGCGTGTTCCTTGTAAGCTTTTTTTTAACGTTTCTCAAGTTTTTTGGGAACACTCGCATGAGCTTTCCCAAATTTTAGAAATTGAATGTTTGCAAATAATATCCTCTAAACTTCTAGGAAGTCGAATTTTAGCTTCATGATGGGGTACAACTGGAACCGTAGACTTTGATTGAGAGGAGCGCAAGGTAAGGTCTCAAGCAAGGACGGAGCCAACTTGGGCCCGGGGGGGCATGTGCTTCCCCTGGCCCCAAGCTGGCCCATTAAATTTTTTATACATATAAGTGCATAATTTGTGAACTATTACTTGGTGCCCCCCTGAATTTTATTTTTCTTTCTAAAACACCCCTGGGCCTGAAATTCTTTATACATATAGGTATATAATTTGTAAAGTATTACTTTGTGCCCCCCCTGAAATTAAATCCTGGCTCCGTCCCTGGATAGCTGTAACTAATTTTAACAACATTTGATTTTTATTTGATCTAAAATACCAAAATTTAAAATTTAAAATTGAAATTAAAACTAAATATTGAATTCCTTTCAATCCATCATGCGAATCAAAAAGCCAACTAAACAATAGGAAATTAAATTAAAGCAATAGAAACCATGAATGAAGGACACCAAGATTTTTACGTGAAAAACTCAGATGGAAAAAACCATGGGAGTTAGATAAAACTCCACTATAAGAAAGAGAAATTACATTAGGTTAAAGTTCACATGCCCAGAAATCCTAATTACCTCTTGACAGAGACTAATCCACCAAACTCTCCACTTGAGTCTCCTGGCACACAGTTCGCTCATCAAGAGACTTCGCTCCTTACAAATCTGCTTTCACAATAGCAATTTGATCTCCGGACTAGACATCCACTCCAACCTCAGTTTGATTTAATGATTTAATGATTGTTGGTGTTGATCTCTTTCAAAAAATTAGTTCCACAACAGTGATGAACTGATGATTTTAAAACATTCATATAACACACCAATCTAATGCAATTGATCAATGCTTAAAGAAAAATATAATGCACTCAGTTTTGCTTAAAATCTCTCTAGCATATATGTCTCTGTCTATTTTGTGTGCCTTAGGGTCTGTATTATGTTAACTGTATTTATAAACAAATCAGAGTTGTAGCAAGATAGGGTTCAAGTGTTTAAATCTGAAAAGGAAACCGTTTTCTTGAATGGCTTGATCAATTGAGAGACATGTTTATGATAATTTAGCGTAACACATATGTTCCATATAAGAAAGTAGCTTTAAATTCCATTAAAGTTGCAGAGTAGAATCCATTGCGCCAGTAATGATTTGTTAAGATGAAGATACAATGTATTGAAATATTGTAAGTTGTCACTGTGATTATTATTAATTGACTATCAGTTGTACATTCCATTTTGTCTTTAGTTTTATTTTATTTATCATTTTCTTTATTTATTAATTGCAGGTCTCTGCAGAGGCAGACACATTCTTTTGTTTTGCTGAGTTATTAAGTGGATTTCGGGATCATTTCTGTCAACAACTTGACAACAGTGTTGTGGGAATCCGATCCACAATTACAAAGTTATCGCAGCTTTTAAAGGAACATGATGAAGAGCTCTGGCGTCATCTTGAGGTCACAACCAAAGTAAGACCGTTTTATTTTTCAAATGATAGAAATATAAGCCTTAAGTTATTAACTCTATTTAATGTGCATTCCTTAAATTATCTAATCAAAATTCATTAGTTTCAAATCAATCCATCCAAATGGGGCCTTAGCTTTTTCAAGAAAGCCTTGTTTGATGCCATTTAGAGTTGATGAATTGCTACAAATTTGAAATTAATAAATAATGCCTTCCTGTCTTTGAAAATAACAGGTCAATCCCCAATTTTATGCATTTAGATGGATTACTCTCCTCTTGACTCAAGAATTCAATTTTGCTGATAGTCTTCAAATTTGGGATACACTTTTAAGCGACCCAGAAGGTCCTCAAGTAAGTTTATGCCATTTTTTTCTGTCTCATCTTTTGGAGGAATTCATTTTGCTCTTTTAGGGTGCGCTCCCTGATTTCTTTTCATGTGGACAAGAGTTCATTAGCCTTGGATAATGTTGAAGGATTTAAATATTAAAGTTACACCATCTCTAACAGCTTAAGTTTTTGGAGCTGATGGTTATTAATATGGTATCTGAGCAGGCAATGTTCTGTGTTCAAACCTCACTGTCACCCTGATAATTAAAATTGAAACACATGTTGGGTATAAAGAAGGCCACGAGGGGGCGTGTTGAAGGATTTAAATATTAAATTACATTCAGCTTAAGCTTTTAGAGTAGATGATGGTTAATGATAATACTAATCTCTCAGCTTCCCCTAGGAAAAGGAACTAGGGAAGAATGCAGTACACACAATGTGGTTCTTCTATGGTTGATGAGTGACGTAAATAGTACTACCAAAAATGTCTATAAATGCTGTTTGACGAGGCATATATCATCATAATGGTACTAATAATGGTATGAATGACATGCTGTGTATTTTAAAGTAATTGATGTGCATGAGGCAGTTTTAGGCATTGAAAATATCTGTTTAGAATTTATCATTCATTATTAGTTTGCACCATTACTATGTTTACAGTATATATTCTCACTTGTTACAAACATGGGGAGGACTGGAAGTTTTCTTGAACCTTTTCTAGATCAGATCAATGTTTTTGACCAGGAAATTCTCTGACCTATTATATGTTAGTGCACCATGTGAGGATGATTCAGGAAGATGTAAAGCAGTGCTTTGAATTTTTTATTTTTTATTTTTATTTCGAGTGAAAAGAAAAGCATGCGCGCAGACAGAAGTAACCAAACAAACAAAACTGTCTGCAGGAAACTGTGCTTCGGGTATGCTGTGCAATGCTGATTCTTGTTCGGAAGCGTTTACTTGCTGGTGATTTCACATCTAATCTCAAGTTACTCCAAAATTATCCATCAACAAGCATCAGCCACCTGCTCTATGTGGCCAACAAGTTGCGTACTCGATCAGCTCGCCAAATTTTTTAACCATAACATTTTCTGTTTCCTTTTTCTGCAGTCTTGTGTTAAAATTTTGGTGTTTGTAAAATTTCACTGGTATGTAAATCTCAGTTAAAGTAGTAGCCAACGTGAATGGAGATTCACTGGTATATTTTCATTTTTTTTTTCTTTAATTTTTTTTTTTTTATTGTTTCAGTAGATGCACAATCTTTTTTTCATATCTTCATGAGATGGTTATAAGAATTATTGTTCTTTTTGTTTGTCACATTGATACTGGACAGTTACTTGTAATTTGGCTTTGAAATGATTTCTGAAGGCCCCCTTTGGAATAGCTTTTGAATAGTGGCTTTCAGCTTTCCGAGCTCAGAGGCCGTTATTAGATAGTGACTGGTATTCGGATTTGCTAGAAGCCCGGACTTTTGACTTCCTGACCCTTTTTAGTCTTCTAAGGGTGTTCTTTTTTTTTTTTTTTTTTTTTTTTTTCTGATGATAAGTGAAGTTGTTAGAAAGCTCTTTGTAGAAAAATCCCAAATTTGTTCTCAAAGTTTAGTGAATATTTATTAATGATGTTTCAATCCCTTGAATTCTTAGTTAAAAACTTGGAAATGACACTTTTGTTTGATTTATATGGAAAGTTACTTTTTGGAACAACAGGAAAGAGAGTTTTTGAAACAATCAAGAAGATGTGGTTGTTTAGAGTCAGTTTAGAGTGTAGTGATTTTTAGTTTTTTACTAATATCAAGCGACTAGTAATGTCAAATCCTCTCCAGTTTCTTATTCTTAATAAAATTGCTATATATCTTATTCTTATATAAACATTTCTACAATTATTCATTTTTCTTTTTCTTGGTGTGCAATTCCTTAATTTCAAATTTTGTTGTAAAGTGCTTTCTCGACTTATTTATTGTTCTTTAAGAGGTATGGGGGTGCGGACAACAAATTAAGTATTTTATGTTTACCGAAACTAGTCAAGAAAGCACTTTTATATGAGGGAAAAAATACTCATTGATTTCATCAAATATCGCAAGAGTTTCAATAAATATTTATGCTACACCGAATATAAGAAGTATAGCTCTTGTTTCTCTAAAAGTAAAATACAATTTATTTATTTTTATTTCTTTGACAAAGAAACAAACTCATATGCTAACTCGTGACTTGAATCATCCAACTTTCTATTTTAAGAGACAAAAAAAAATACCAATAAACTACAAATTTTGTTTGTAAAATAAAAACAAATTAAAGTGACAATTTTTGAGAGACTATTCATTCCTTTTCTATGGAAAAACTGAACCACAAGTATATATTCTAGTAAACCTTGTCATAAATTCATGATACACGCCAGTTGTCTATATCCTTACATAATACATAGTTAAAACCCAAACAATTTTTGAGAAACTATTCATTCCTTTTCTATGGAAAAACTGAACCACAAGTATATATTCTAGTAAACCTTGTCATAAATTCATGATACACGCCAGTTGTCTATATCCTTACATAATACATAGTTAAAACCCAAATGAGTGGTTTATTTCCATATATAATTAGACCCTCAAACTTACATATTGCGTAATTCAGTTTGTTTGTTTCATATATTAGCTTTGTTTATGAGAATCATTTCAAAACCGACCTTAGCTCAGTTGGTAGAGCGGAGGACTGTAGTTGGTCGCAAGCCGTCAGATAATCCTTAGGTCGCTGGTTCGAATCCGGCAGGTCGGAATATTTTATTTTCGTACTTTTATGTTTTTTGAACGACACGTCTCTCTATTTACGAGGCGCATTTTAGCAACTTCTTCCCTTAACGTACACGGGAGTACAAAATCGCATCTCCAAGCACATCGAATCGAAGCTAAGAACTGATCTACTTGTAGCAGAGGCCGTTCTTCCATCGATTCATTTTTGCGCGCATTTAATCGATGGTAATACCAACTCTCTCTCTCTCTCTCTATATATATATATATGAATGTGTCGGTTTGGTTGCTGAGAAAATTGTAACATAAAGAAAAGTAACTTTGGTACTCTCAACTGTTTGGCCACCGATAAAACTTCAAAAATCCGCTCAGTTGATGATTAGTTGAGCTGAATTTTTTTATTTTTTTTAATCGAAACCTATCTAGCATAAACGTTAAAATTCATAATTTGATTGTTTTTATTTTTCTCTGTTTTATTGGTTTACCAGACGGTGTTCTATAGAATTTGGGATTCCACCAATGGGGGGCATTAGCCTGTATGGTATGAGGATATTTTGGAAATAAAAAAAAAAGGAAATTTGGGATTTTGGAATCGAATTTTTTTTTTCATATAGTTACGGTTTTGGGATCAATGGGAAAAAAACCTGAAGTAAGCAAAATAGTTGTTGAAAGCATGGTTGGCCGATAATTTTCATTCTTTTATAATAAAATATTAAAGATTTCAAAGGCTTTGAATTCTTTTCTTATCCTACTTTTTCTCAGCAGCCAAACACATTATGATAAATTCTGTTGCTGTATACTCCCAACTTAACAAGTCTTGTGTCAATGTTTCTAATTTAAGCTTTCCCATATATCATAAAGTACTTATAATTTTAACATTTCCAGGCGAACACACTACGATTGTATTTGACTTGCATAAGAAACACTCTTGAGGCTGCCATGTGTTTGCAGGTATGTATTATTTTGCTATTATTGATATTGATGATAAGATTAGAGGCTGGTTTTGTGATGTTTGATATCAGTGCATGGAGGGTGGTGGTTGATTAGTGATAAAATAACCAATAATGCTTGAAATGGTTATTGCAATATATTAAGTTAAATGATTGTTGTTCGCAAATTTGCATAATTAGCAGTGCGCAGGCAACAGAGTTGTCCACTTTAATGATAAAGCAGTTTTGATTTGGTTCTACTGGGATTGCATTGGTTTCAGATTTCGTTTTGTTGTCCTGTGAAAGTTCGAATCACTTCTTCCCCGTATACTTTGAAGGTATATCAGGCTTGGTCAGTTCAAACCCTTGTAACACCAGGTCCTAAATGTGCGATTTTTTCAATGGAACCACATAATTCTTAGATTAGATCAAAATAAAATTTGACACATAAATTTATTTGCTATCGGTTATGGTCTTTCCGATGTTCTCTTTTGCTTGGGACATCCCTTCTAAGTTATCTTGATTTTCAACTCTCCTTTTTATTGTTTGGCATGGGACTGTGCATTTGGAATTTCTTTTGTTACAAGTCTTATGACCATGTAATATTTATTAGTTTCAAGTCACTCACTTAGCCCCACATGTACGATAATATTGTCAATGGACTATCATAAGATTTTTACAAATTCAAGAGCTAGCTTACTTATGGATGCCATTCTTTTGATGAATTAGGTGGGAAGCTCTTTGCTCAATGTGATTAAATTTAAGTATACATCTATGTGGGACTTAGGGGACAACAAATTGGTTCGAAAATGTGTTATTAATCTACTTAGATAAGATGTTGAATACGTATTTTAATCAAAAGGTAGAGTACCATTACAAATAAGTTTCCGATTAATTTTTCTTGTTCATAGGCACAACAACAACAAAGGCAAAAATACCTCTGGGAAGTCATATAGAAGAAAGGTTCAGCAGCTTATTCTGCTCCTTAAATTTGGCAGCACAAATCTGTTTAGCCTTTCTCATCTGTTTGGAACATGGAGCCGTATCATCTATAAAGCTTGCCTTTTATTTCCTTGAATTTTGTTGTCTGCTACCTAGGCCTCAACAATGTCATTCAGAACTGTAAACATGCATAAAATCCAATCAGCAGAGCCTAAATAGGGATTGACATTATGCATTTTTAGAAAATGCAACCAGCAGAGCCTTAATCATAGCTATGCTTTTATATAAAATTGTAAATCATAAAAGGATCGATTACTATATATCTATTCATATGTATGTATCTATATCTATTGAACAATTTGAGCCTTAGGATTGATTTCTGTTGTAAACTAAGCCTAACTTGTTTCCTAATGATATTAAAGGCACTTTTCACATTTGAAATACCAGATTTTTATTTAGCGAATTAGTGCAAGGCTTTTATCTTGTAGCTATGTGTTAGCCCCTTGACGGTTGTCCAAGGGAAGACATGGGCATTTCAAGGCCATGCCATGTCTTGGGAATACTTTGGCTTTGGTTAGACAGCCATGAGGATGCTCAATGGGTTGTCAGCGTGCACAAGATGCTCAGCGTGCACACAGAATGCTTAAAAGGATGCTCGGCGTGCACTGGGGGTGCCCAGTGGCACTTCGTAAATATGGTGAAAAATGAAACTTGGAGTTTTGACTCGGGATCTTTATGGGAGGTACCTTGAGTCCATAGAAGCTGGTTGGCGCAGACGGCATTTAATTTGGATGTCGGGAAAGGCTTAAAAGGCCATTATGACTCCTCAAGCATGGGTGATGTTTACTACTGTCAGAGTGCTGGATTTCCTTAAGACTATACTAGGGGGGGGGGTCTGTTGAGCACATCGGTTGGGCTATGGCATGGCTTGCTTAGAGGGCTTTGCTAACGTGCATGGGCACGTGTTGCACCACTCCAAGATGGTTGCACAAGTGGGGAGCATCCAAGATATTGAAGGGCAAACAAGTTGGCACCGACATGCGCGCTGGTGTGCAGCGGCGCGTGTGCGGGCGTGCAGGTGGGCGCGCGGGCAGGCCTCCAACCTAGTGTGCGCGAGCGTCTAGCTCGGCGTGCGCACGAGCGTCCAGGTGGGTGTACAGCCACGGGCGCATGAGGGTTCAAACATGGCGTGCGAAGAAGGGCACTAGTGTGTGCGCCGGCGTGCACTTTGGTGTGCACCCGAGCGTGCGCACGGGCGTGCATGGCTTGGCACGCCGTGCACTCAGAGACATATATATGTGGGTGCAGATTGGTGGACTTGGCTTGGGCTAGGTTCACAAGGTTGACTCAGATGTGGCTAGAGCATGGACAACACAAAGTCATGGCTTGCGGTTGCAAGAGGTGGTGGCTTAGTGGGCTCGGTCGGTTGGGGGAAGTTACTAGCACTTCCCACTCATCATGGTAACTTCTCGTGGTTATGGTGGGGGTGGTTTCTTCCACTATGCAGAATGTAACTTCTTGTGGTTATGTGGCATGAGCAGAACATGCCAACAAGTCTAGCAGTTGGGCTTGTCAACTGCATTATAGTGCTGGCACATTTGGAGGGTGCCAGCACGACCCTAGGTGGATGGGGGTGTCATCCATCATCTTAGTGGACAGTTATGGGCGGTTTTGAGAGTGGCCTATATAATGCTAATGTGGGCTTTGTAGAGGGAACAGAGAAGAGGGTGTGAGCTTTGGTTGTTCCTTGTACGAACTCATGTTCCTCTGTAATATGTTTAACATGAGCAAAGGTTGGGGCTTGTCCCTGTAAACTGTGTGTGCCTTCTTTACATTTCTATACTGTGTGTATTGTGTTGTTGTGTTAGCTAAGACTTGGTGGCCCCAAGTGCCATTGCAGAGGCAAAAATTCGTGGTGTAATTTAGCCCTGTAACACTATGGCTTACAAGTTCTGTTACCTCATTGGTCCCTTTAAGATGGATTTTCTAGTAAGTTAAGCCATTCCTCCTCTTCTTCTTTTTATTTTTTATTTATATTTATATTTATATTTATTTATTTATTTAAAGGGATTATTCATTATATTGTTGTCCACGGTATTCTGTGAGTCTTATTTTGTGTTGGTAAGTCTTTTAATCTCTAGATGGAAATCTCCATCATAGCTTTTCATGGAAGCTTGAGCAATATCAAATATCAATTGGGAAGATGCAAGATTAGTTAATAACTAGTATTGTGAACTAAATTCGTTCGGAATTAAGGTGTACAGTTTTACTTCCTTTGAGGATAATTTAGTAGATGGAATAGATTTGAATACAAAAACACAAAAGCAACCAATGAGAGGCACATATCATTCACAAACTAGAGAAACGGAGTCGAAATACTCAAAGAACTTAGCAATATATCCTTTAGCATATTGTCACTTCTACTGTTTCCTTAAAATTATTTTAAACTCTAGCAAGCAAAGTTAGTTTTTTGGCCAAATATCAGATTACATATTACATTCTTTCACAAATGTGCCATAATTGAATTTTATTCTCTTATAGTACGATATAAAATCTTGTTATTGATGTGTTTCTGGTGATATTTAGTGGACTCACTAGCTAATTATCCTAATTTGGTTGTTAGACATTATTAAGACTTAAGATTTAGGTGAAGTTTCTGTTTGCCTTAAAGGCGAGGTACAATTGGAAGTATTTTTTCCTTTCAACCAATTTATTTTGCACAATTATACCAATCACGCAATGACTTGGTCATAATCCCTATGTTTCTGTTGTGGTTGCAGAACTTCCCGTGTCAAGAAGTTGAAAGGCATAACAAACCAGAGGTTGAACTGAAGTATGTTAACGCATTGTGGTTGGTTCTTTAGTTACTCTTACTTTCTTCTGCTGGTGATAGTAGCCAATTCTTCTTTATTATCTCCTTAACAAGTAAAGCACTTGCAGTCACAGTGAAAGAAACAGCCACAAAACTGCATATCAAATTATTTTCATCCTGGCACAAGAATGAAAAATATGTATAACATTTCTTACATGTTTAAATTTTTAACTAGTCTGTAAATAAAATATTAGTGTTCCAGGTTCCTTGTAAAATCTGATAGCTGGTAATTGGAGTTCCTAAAGCAGATTAACTGGGCATCTTTAGTAATATGTGTGGAAGAATATCATAGTGAATGAGAGCACAGAGCTTGACATCTAATTCTAAATAATATGAACTTTACACTTGTGGTTGATCTATGAAAATCACACTTGTGGTGAAGAATAAAATTGTAAGTGGTCAATGAAAAACATGAAATGATTAGTTATGCATTGTTCGCATCAGAATATATGTATATTACAGTTTTCATTTACATGTCCAACCTCAATGCCATGCAAATATTCAGTTTTGCAGAAAAATGTTGCATGTGGAAGGTTTTGTTTATTTATATATTTATTTTTGTATCTTTCAGGACCAGTGCAGAACTGCTGCTAAACCCTGTAAGAACCATTCCGTTGATACTAGATATAATACTGATTTTCATTTCTTTACCGTGATTTGTGTTAAAGTTGTTTTCCATTTATCCAGTAAAGCTTTTAAGTTGTGAAGTCTGCTCCTACTCCATGCAACTTTTGTTTCAAAAAGCTGTATTCATGAATTTTTATAACTGACATTATGTAGAGTTGCCAACTAGGTCAAGATTTCATTCACTGTTAAAGGCTAAGATTTCTATAGATGTCAATACATTGAAACTTTTGATTAACTGTGTTTTGGGTGATGGTATCTGTTTAGTTTCCCAAAAGATGAAAAGTCCATGGAGATTGCATCAGGCTAGTGAAATAATTTAGAAATCTGCTGCCAGCATGAACGATTACCCCCCTTTTCTTATGGCCTTCTGAGGAGAGGGTTTAAGGTTCCTTTCTTTAGAATATGTATAGAGACCAAGTGCTACCTGAATGTTTAATAGTGGAGCACGTTCAGTGTTTTAGTTTTTATGTTGCCATTAGTTGGAAAGGAATAAAGCAAGCAAAGAATGTTGTAGCCTGTAATTTTGTTCTCAAATAAGAATTGTAGAAATTTCTTATTTTCTTTTTTTTTTTTTTTTTTTTTTTTTTTGATAAGATTTCATAAAAGGCGCTCAAGAGGGGAGCGCTTCCAAAAGAATACACAAGACGCTAAAGGCGGCAACTGTAGCTTTAAGCTATCCACAAATAAAAATAAAGTATACAGTATATTGTATTTGAGTGACCAAATAGGAGTCTCCTCTCCATCGAAGGATCTCCTATTTTTGTCACACCACAAACCCCACCATAAACAAAGAGGAATGACCCTCCAAACATCCCTGACTCAATCAATACCTAGAGTTACTTGTTACTTATTTATCATTGATTTCTTTTATGTGCACTGCAGATGTAGCTTTGCTTGTTGTTTGTCTTTATAAAGTTATTGCTCATCATTAATGTCCAAAGCAGTCTATGCTTGAAGTTCTTATCTGCCATTCATTTGCTTCAATCTTTTGCCCCTCTTATAATAACCATTAAATTTTGCTCATTACTAATATTAAGTATCAATGGTAATTAAAACACTAATGCTGATGATAGTGATTTCAAAAAGTAAAATAAATAGATAAAATAAATAAATAAATAAAGGTAATTAATGTCAGATTTCATTACTTAATATAGTTGTTTTAGGAAAGGATCAGTACTATGGGAAGTTCTATGGAATTTCATTTGAAGGCGAAATTTCTCTACATTTTTTCTTCATTATTTTTCTCTGTTTGTGATAATTCATGATTCATTTGATGGCTATAGCATCTTTTATGAAGTGGGGTGATGACTTTGATGAGAATATTTTCCTGAATCAGTCTTGGTTTCATGAAATTGTCAAAGAAATGGAAGCGTTTCCTTAAACTAACTCACCAAAATTCATATTACTGTTTTAATAGATGATACTTAAATTTGTGTTCTTCCGATGATCAATTGACGAGTTTTGAGAGGATTCAAACAATTTTTGCGGTCTAACAGAGATATGGATGAGAAGATAGAAGCACCTTCAAGGGCCAAAAGTTATGCTAAAGCAAACAGTAACCTCCACAGTACCATGCTACAGAGTTGTTATAGTATTGTGTGCTATTGTACTGTTATAGTAGATTCTAGTTTGAAATGGAACCCATACATCAATTCCCAGATTGAGAAGCACTCTGCATGATGAGATAATTTATTTCTATTAGAGCCACTTCATGAGGAAGGAATTGACAACAGAAGTCAATATCTTGAATACATTGAACACGACTGTTACTGGATCATTAAGTAAACCCAGGACAAGCATCAGGACTAAACTTTCCTAAATATGCCAAGGCTTCTATCCTGCATTTCAGTTTGTCTTAAAAGTTAAAATTAGCTTAAGTTTTTGCATTGGCTTTGTCCTTGCTATATATATATATATTGAAAGTTCAAGCAAATGTACACGACCCACAATATTGCCCCTAGCAGGGATCGAACACTCAAACTCCCCTTGGGGGAGGAGAGATTTTGTCATTAATAATTTTAACAATTTGAGTTAGATGCCTGTGTCACTAGTCATTTGAAGTGTAAATTGCAGCTGCGTGTCTACTCAGGCTGATGGTTTATTGAGTCAAACTATGTTTAACATATCGTTGCTGAGGTTGCATCTTATCAGTGCTTAGGAACTCAAATTTTGTATTGAACAATACACAAACACACAAGCACCTAGAACCAGAAGAACCAGCAAGCTTAATCCTAGCTGTGTCTTTATGGATCAACTCATTGATTTCGAGATCTATAAGAGTTGACTTTTGAGTTGTTGAAGTCTCTTAAATCAAGTTTCTTATTTTCACTGTGACTGGATATCTTTTCTGATGTATGGTTTTAATAAAAAGTTCAGTGACAAATAGGCTGCCTGGATGTCAGTTCCCTCCCCCATATGGACTTTGATATCAGTTCCCTCCCCCCTATCTGTCTTTATGAATGATCACATATAGGCTGAAAATGTGTAGGTGAAGCAAAAATATTTTATTAGTTGGAACTTCCACCCTGTGTTGACTGAACAATGATACAGGCATTGATGTAAGTGAAGGAAAAAAACCTTCCACCTAATGCCTCCACCATCAGCGAGAGAGAACCATAAATGTTGTGCTTATTATTGTTTTGCTGTTGTACCTCGCTCTGTCTTTCTTTAGCTCCCAATTTGCTATATTTTGATATCTCATGCATTATTTGGAGTTTGCAAGTGATTGCATTTTATTTATTTATTTTTTATTGGAGTGTTGAAGGTAGTGGGTTATTGAGCCTGTAAACTCTTAAGTGTTCTTTCTTGATTTCTAACTTTTGTCAATGGACCGTATTTTATTTTGGCAATTTCTGTCTCAGGTTCTGATATGTCGAAATGAGGCTGAAAAATGTTTAATCGAAACTTCTATTAATTCAGTGCGCATAAGTCTCAAGGTGAAGTGAATTGATGTATATTTGGATATTATTGATTTCCTTTTGTTGCTTATGGATGAGATAATAAACTCTCAAAGCACATGGTGCCATCTAATCTTCCCGTATAACTTACATGTCATGGTGATTATATCTAATTTTATATAATACAACTTGCCTGGTGTACTTCCACTTTGCTGGCTATCAATAATTATCATCTTTATATTAATGTGTAAGTGAAATATATATGTTGGCATATAAGAATGATCCGACCATTACCCCATGCTGGTCTTGCTTATGCGTGGTATTAGGAAGGTGGATTTGTTTGTCATTATTTGCACAAAGTGATTGCTTTGAAACTTAAATCTACATTATCGCACTTGGCAGTGTAAGGCTTTTACAATGCCCCAAGCAATGACCCTCATTTGATGTTTATTGCTGCTATGAGGATCAATCAGACATAATTTTGAAAATTAATTGTGTATTGTCAATGCACTGAGAATGTTTTGCATTAGTGCTGCATAAAATGGTGCCACCAACAATTTAGGGTTGCAAGTAGAAGGCGTAACTTTGGTTGAATACTTGGATTTATAAATTTTTCATTGCGCTTGAACTTGGTATTGGCTTCTTATATATATATATATATATATATATATATGTAAAACTTTTGATGTTATTTGCACAAAACTTGCACTCTTAGACTCAAACCAATATTCTCATGCTTGCATCCAAGTTTTTACTATTGCTGTAGGCAATGTCCCCCATTTGTTCTTTTTTCAGATATTCGTATGTATGGATATTGGAACACGTCTTCTAAGGTCCAGATAGATGGTAACTGGCAAAAAAGTAATTCAAGAGCCAACTTTAAGTAGTTACAATTTTGAAGCTTTGTTGAGTCGAGTTGAAGGGGGTGAGAAAAATTGTTCATATTTGGAAATAAATTTGGGGAAAATTACAAGTGAAACTATATATATATATATATATATTGTTTTCCAATATATTATCAGTACATACTGTTGCAAGCTTTAACAAGTTAATTCAAAAAGTTGAAAGCCTAATTACATGTGTTAACAATCATCTACTTTAAAAGCTTAAACTGTTAGAGAGGGTTTAACTTTTAATATTTAAATCCTCCAACAACATGCAAAAGGCTCCAAAATTCATTATGTGAAATAGGGAATATGATTTGTTTCAGAACCTTAAACATATAAAACCTTGTAGCTGAGGTGTTTATTTCGGCAAATTTAAATAGATATAGTTGTTTTCCAGTCTTTGTGATGTGATGTTGATCCTATTTTCGGTTAACATATGAATAAGATGCCAATATGCCATTTCCAAGTGATTGCTTTTACACCCTTTTAAAGAGACGTAAGAGACATGGACTATAGTTCACAGTATGTATGCCTTTCATGACCTTCATGGGAGTTCAAGGAATTTTAGCAGTAATTGCAGGAATTGGAGGCATTTTTCTTGTAGTCTCGAAAAACAAGCCACATGGGATAAACCTCGAACATTTTAGAAAGTTGTTCTATGTCAAATCGTTAAAGCCCAAACCTCAAACATGAGTTCATAAGTTCATTCATTGTAGCTTGACCTAAAAATTAGCTCGTAGGACATATTAAGCTAAAAAAATTGACATATGAGAGAGCTTTCTTAACTGCTACAAGGTACTGAATCATATTTACTGGAAAAAGGTACTGAATCATCCTTTTTTGTCATTTTTTTTTTCATTTCTAGCATCAATCTTTTGTCATGTTCCGTCTCTTTCACTCCTACTGTGCTTTATATAGGACATTTCACATTAATACATAATCATAAAATATATAAAATTGAATGAACTTTTTTAACTTTTATCACCTTATATTCTTTTCTTATAGGTAAAGCAAGCAGATGAACTAGAAAACATACTAACTAAAAAATTTCTTAGATTTTTGTCGATGAGGGCAGAAGCATTTCAGGTGTTGAGGAGAAAGCCAGTGCAGGTATGAATCTCTCTCTTTTTTTTTTTGGTCTATGTAACATTCGTGCTGCTTGTGTTTATTAACTGGCAATAAATTTTTTTTTTAATAATATTTACAATATTGTCTAGAAAACAAAATAGAATGCCAATATTAGGTTGTTACAATGATGGCATGGATGCTGAATTTGATGTCCTTTCTTTAATTTTTTTTTTTTTTTTGTGGGGGGGGGGGGGGGGGGGGGGGGGTGGGGGGCATGATTTTTTATATTGCTTTAGATGTTGCTTCCAATAAACCTGACATTAGTCATGCAGTGAATATATCTGATGATCGGCCATTACAGTGCTATTCGAATCTCATAAAGTGCTGGTCTTGTAGTTTTCATATTATAAAACTATGAGGTTTGTATTTTGATACGATTTTATTGCTTCTAGGAATCTTATATTGATAGAATTTAATTTCATACTTATAGCAGGTTCTAGAGACTTACCATACGTCTTATTACTTTGTAAAGCAACAAAATTAGAGTGCATATGAATTCGTGCTACACAGCTTATAGTTATCTTAAATCTTCTTTGATCCATATGTATACCAAGCCTCTTCGTTTCCACTGCATTATGAACTGGGTGCAAACTTGTATCATAATTGGAACTATGAGTATTTGTCTTTAAATCTGAAGTGCACCCAATTTGAGTTCCAATTATTAGATAAAGACTGATAGACTATGAAATTCGGTAAGAATTGGTTCCAAATCCGAATGATCGTTCTTGATGAATGAAAAATATTATATTTACAATTTTGATATTGTCAACCATTCCTATCAAGGATTAAGTAATGCTTAGGAAAGATTGGAAGCTTGTTTTAATTTTGTCATCTAGAAAATGTGGTGTTTAAGCAAAGAATTGTACATGTTACCATCTTATTAGTGATGCTTGCACTGATACGTGTTAGGTGATTGAGCCGTGTGTTGGCTAATTCCTACTCAAAACTTGGGGTTGTAACTTGTGTCAAATGTCATGAGTCATCTGTTAAAACCATAAGAAGGAAATGAGAAGAACTAAGAACACACTATAAATCTCTCAAGCTCAATCATATATCTAGGAGAAGGTAAGTTGAGACCTTACATACCATTCATGTTCTAGGTAGTAGGTATGATGTTTAAAATGCTCAAAATACTGTTCTTAGAATGCTTTTCAAAATTAGGGTTTAATTTTAAAATTATTCTAAGAGTTTGAATGAGATTTTAAACAGGGAGTTTTTGCTAAAAATAAAAAAATAAAAAAAATAAAACAAAAACCTGAATTACCAAAGTCTCGATCTATTAATAATTTCCAATGAATTTTTTAGTAATGTCTAAAATCGAAACCTGGACAGTGACTTTGGATTGAAGTCTTGATTAATGAAAACAAAGCCAAGGGCACTCAATCAATGTCTCGATCGACCGATCTGTGTGGAAACACTTTTTGGGAAACCCTCTCAAAACAGAATTTTAATATCATACATTGGCTTCTTATATTAAAGCTACATGGCTATAACTATGTGTGGCAACTTGCCAACACAACTCAAGCACGACATAAAGTTAGCGGGTTTGGATTGACCTTAATCATATTCTTGTCATAATCGTGTCAACCAGCTTAATTAATTGTATTGTGTTCGTGTTTTGGAGCTCAACATGTTTAATCCAATTAGAATCATTTAATTAACCGTGTCATAATCGTGTCTGCTCATCCCAATTAACCCATACCTTTTTTTTTAACCGAATTACTATGGACATATTAGTTATATTCAATATAAACCCAATATGAATATACATGCGCTTCTTTTATTAAAATAGAATTCATATTTATTCTCGAGTTCCTTAGATCGTTTGATTATCATATCCTTAAATTCAGTTCTACTTTTATCTCTCACCCAAAAAAACATTCGACCCTTTGGATGAATTAGCAGCTTATGGAGATATATGTTGTTTGATAACCCAATTGAATATTTTAGAATGAAAATATCAACTGCTTATTCTAGGGACTGCGTTTGATACCGCAATTCATTATCACTTGGAAAGAGTCTGAATTTTAGGTCAAAGAAAATAGACTTTCACTGAATACTGAATTTACTAAGCGAAAAGGTGGTTTAAGCTTTAATCAATTGTACAAACGCATCCTTTAATTTTCAGTTTTACAAATTCAAGTTTAAAGACTACTCATTCAGCACTAAAATTTCAGTGGCTAAAATTCAGTTTTATCAAATAGCACCTTATATACTATTACAATGGTTCTTATCCAGTGTTCCTCGTTCATTGAGGATTGGGGTGGGGGAAACATAGTACAGACCTAACATTTGGTATTATTTGTACAAAAATGGCTGCCCTGATCCCTCGTAATTGCACCCAATTTCACACTTAATAGCCTGAGATTTTACCACAGCATCAAGCAATGGTCCTGAAGATCTGTACTTACTATTTTCACCCAATGTCACATGCGGGTTGTATAACATGGACACAACTCTGCAACAAGGGCCCAAGATACACTTCTCATTTGCAGACAATGCATAAAAAGTCAGATGGTGATGTGATATTGTGATTAAATTTTTATGTAATGTCTGCAAAAGAATAAGTGCAAAATGTATCTTGGGCCCCTCATTTTGAGTTGTATTATGCTGTGCCCACGTTAGCCAATGTGTGAAAATGAGCAAAATCCCATCTGGGGCTCTTGCAACATGGTCTGTAAATACCCTCTGTACAGTGATTGCATGTATGGGACTGTGGTTGAACATGGTTATTTCATTTGGCTGATTCTAGAAACATGCAGGCATTGAACAGTTACTGCATTGAGGTGATTCTAGAATTGTACGAGGGAAAACAGATTAGCTTATTTGCTTAATGATATATATATTTTCAAACCACATGACTTGTAGGATCGTTATCATTAGAGTGAGTAATCACATAAGTTAATTGAATTCTTAATCAATTGAGAGTACATTTTATTTATTTATTTTAATATATGGAATATGTATATTTATTTAAAGTTTTAGAATTGATTTTGGCAATGCTCTTCCGTTTTTTTTTTTTTTCCTAAATCAATGCTCTTCCGTTTTAGAAATAGTGGATGGAAATTACATATTAAACAAAGAGTTGTCAGTTTATTTTCTTTATGTATTTGCCAATTTGGTCTTGATGATTTCTCAGCACTACTAAAATGGGAATTCCACAATTTAATTTACTCTTTTTCTCGATCATAATTAAGATCATGGCACATATAAGGTCCGACTCACAAAATTTACCATATTATTTCTATTTTTTTTTTTTTTGCTTAAATTTTTTCCTTTTTGTGACATGTAATGATTCCTCCATCTTACTTCTAGATTGAATACTATTTTATATTTGCTTCACTTTGCAGGGATATGACATTTAGGTTGATACTATTTTTGGTTATTTCACTTTGCAGGGATATGACATTAGCTTTCTTATTACAAACTATCACTGTGAGGATATGCAAAAGCACAAGTTGATTGATTTTATTGTGCAATTCATGGAGGCAAGATCTCTATTAAATCTTAAAGTTGCTTTTGCTTTCTTATACTTCATTGCATATGCATCAATGGGGGGATGTACATGTAATTCCACCACAAATTAGTCATGTTCCCAGTTAAAAACTAGCAGACTTTGAGTTGAAATATAAGGCTTTTGTTGACTGAAGTTTTAGTGGATGTTTGACTCTTTCCTTTGAGAGATTCTCTTTTGGCTCTCCTTTTAGCTATATTCTCTTATCCCAAGGAGGTATTCCTCCACAGGCAGTTTTTCCCCCAAGAAAACCTGCCACTGACACGACGACAAATGGAACCTTAGCCGTTGATCGACCTTATGGTGGATTTATCAATAGCTTATTACACAGAATCCTATTTTTGTAGAACGGGTTGAAAGGGTGGGCACTATTAGTGGAGAGGAAGCAATAATTTAGGTTTTATCAGAATATTGAGAACCACACTTATAAGTTTATATTGCTTTTCTTTCGATAATATACCAATTTCAGTATTTCATTAAAGGCATGTAGCTGAAATGGAACTGTTAAGATGGATGAGTGGAGTAACTAGAGGAGATAGGGTCATTAATGAAAGTGTGAGTGGAAAATTAGGTGTGGCAACCCATTGGTGAGAAAATTCGAGAGAGTAGACATATATGGCTTGTACATATCTATCAGAGACCTAGTGACATGCCGATCAGTTGTAATAGAAGGTAAGAGACTGTGAGGGCGGCCAAAAATAACATGGGATGAGGTTATTAAAAATTATTTTAAAAAGTTAAATATAGTAGGTGAAATTGGCATGTAATGGAAAAGTTTGGAAGGAGAGAATTCATGTGGCTTACCCCATTCATATGGGATTGAGGCAGGATGTTTTCATAAATGTATCTTATCAAAATTTTGAATCATTTCTAGTGGTTCTTATTTTATGGAGTGGGTTTCATAATGGGTAGAATGTATTTTACCTTTATAGCGTTTTCTAGCTCCTGCTGGTGCAAAAACATTATGAACCATTAGGTTGATGATGAGAATACCAATCCTAGACATGCTTGAAGCCAGGCTGACTGCTTAATACTGTGATTACACAATCTGGCCCAGTTATTCAAAACGTTATACTTTTTTCATAACTATATTCCAAGTAATCATGGGTTTTACAAGAAATTTTGCTGTTCAGAGAATTGTACCCGGCTTGCTCTGTTTGTTTATTTGTTTAAGCTATAATTGCTGCGGGTATCAAATAATTTGTGCATTCAAGCCTCAGATCTGACACAAACTCTCGAGCACTTAAACTAGTTGCTTGTACATTGGAATTCAGAAGTCTTTAGGATGTGATGATATCATTAGTCAATATATGATAATATCGACCATTAGCATGTATATGCCGTTTTCTTTTTGTTGTAAATATTTCATCTATCTTACTTTATGGAAGAAATCATATTTTCTCTATCTTCTTCTCTACTTTCCAATTAGAAGCTTGAGGGTTTAAGTTCCTATAAGGGAGAGATGGGGGCGCAAAATTTATGGTAATGCCTGTTTATCTTAATTTTGCACCATTTATATTTAATTGGAAAACATTTGGTGGGTCCAAATTTTGCCAAGCATCCATGATGGTGCTAATTGAGTTCTGTCTGTTGATATTTCCTTTGTTTATGGTTTTTGGTGTTTTTTGTGTTTTTTTTTTCAAATTGCAGGATATGGATAAAGAGATAAGCGAATTGAAGTTGTCTGTGAACACACGAGGAAGGCTTGTGGCTACAGAGTTCCTAAAGCAATTCGTCTGATACTTGCAAAAGGTACCACACATTTGTATGAATCTGGTTTTTGTGGATCTTATCAAACCATTTTCTTCAAGAGTGTCTGTGACACAGCAAGAAGTTATATTTTGGTTGCTTCATGCTTTATGTTTGTTAGGATTCTGTTCCCTAGTGGTTCACCTTTTTGTTTGCCCAGTGAACCAATAATCTATCAAGACAAATATTCTGTATTTTTTTGTTTTTTTGGTTGTAAATTTTAAACTCATTTACTGTGTTCTTATTCTTGTAACCAGTGTAACAATTGACTGATATGAAGAAAATACGTTTTACTGAAGTTATTTGATCTACTCTAGGCGAATGGGAAGCCATGTACTAAGTCAAATAAAGCGAAAGCGAGAGCAAATTCGAGAGTGGGAGTGTGAGAGCAGTAGAATTAAGTCATAAATAGTGAGAATTTGAGTCAGATCGCGCGCGGAGCGTGAGAGCGACACCCATTGAGAAAGATTATGTGGCTTAGGCCATGTACATGACTGTGATTGTATTTTATACAAAGAAGCCAGCAAATGAAGGTTCATCATTTGGCTCATAAATGATATGATCAAACAAAAGGAGACCAATGAGAAAAAAACACAAAGGCCAAAGGAAGAACTTTTCTGTTGGGTTTCACAGCTGTGATTGGTTCATTGTTAACACTTTGAATTGTTAACACGTTGAATTTAGGATTAAATTTTACTTGCCTCTCTTGAAGTTTGTCAATATTTAAATAGATTTCCATGTCATAATTTCACTTACCTCCCATGTCAGTACTTTTTTACTGGTTTGTCCATGAAATGTTTGTTATTATTTCATGTATTAGAAGGGCAAAATGGTCAATAGGTTACATAAACCAGACCCTCAAGGGGCAAGAAAGATTATGAAATGTAGAGAGGGTTTATTTGAAATATTGACAAACTTTAGGAGGTAAGTGAAATTTACCCTTGAATTTATAGGTTATGTTAGATGAGAATCATGAGATTACTCCAATTAGTGAATCTCAAAAGTGACTACCTCTTATGTTAAATGCAGGACCTGCACCAAAACCTCTATGTGACGGACATACTTCAGCTCTATATGTATAACAAAAATCAGCTCTATATGTATAACAAAAATTGTTTTTAGACCGACACATTTTGAACACTCGACCAATACATCCTATAGTCTTTGACCTATATTAAAACAAGCACACGACATTTTGAAAACAATATTATGAAAGTGGTCAACCTCCGAGGAGCAGAGATATTATAGTACTATCATATATAATATATAATATAATATATTCTGTTTGATATTTGAATAGTGTCATCTTTTAACTTATTAATATAGAATTTATAATTATCTCTAAATATATAAATGAAAATTTATATTTATATTAACCGTGTTCATACCGTGTTTGTTTTACTTTTTTAAATTTAACGAGTCGTTGTATCATGTCCTTGTTTTGTATTCATATCTGTATCTGTGCTTCTTTGTTCAAAAGTAATGATTTTTTTAGTTATTGGTGTTTTATCAATCAGGTTTTAGAAAGTAGTAGTTGTATTGTTTGAGAGTATTTCATAACACAAGCACGACCCATTGTCTGATACTTAGTAAGGGATTCAATTCTCACCCCCATCAACTAGCCTCTTATTTTTTAGGTATGTAGTATGGATACGAGATACAAACACGATACGACACGAATATGTTGACTCATCAAACTTTAAAAAAGTAGGACACGGTTACGACATGGACACGAATACATATAAATAAATAAAATTTATACTATCTATTCAGAAATAATATTATAAAACTTTAATTCATTTATAATTTTTATACTAAGAGTTACTCTGAAATGAATTAGAAAATAAAATTATGTCATTATTGTAATGATTTTTATATCATATATACCATTATTTTACTACTTTGTCACGATAGTATTCATATTATTTTTAAGATTAGTGGATAGACTTGTGTTAAAAATGTTCAAGAAGTGTTCGAAAAGTGTCAACGAAGTGTTCAAAATAATAAAATTAAATTTTATTTATGGACACATATATGAAGTGTCGGACACGTATCCAAAAAGTGTCGGTGTCCGATACGGGTGCGACACGGATACGGCTTTTTCGTAAAAGTATCTGTGCTTTCTAGCTTTTTAGTCATGATCTGCACAAACCAATTGTCCTTCTAGATTCGAAATCACAAACTCAAAGGCCACAAGCACGAATTGTCCCAATACAGGGGGTTTAGATTCGAATTCGTGAATTCGACGTCCATAAACACGAATTGTCCCCATACGTGGATTCTAGATTCGAATTTGCGAACTCTGAAAATTGAGTTCGCGAATTTGGGACGAATTCGTTCTCAAAGCGTGAGCAGAGCGAAGAACAGTGACCTCCATCAACGAATTACTTACACAAGAATATTTATAAAAGTAGGAGAAGATAAGGATATCGGAATTGTTGTACAAAATGATAGATGAGAATAAAACTTTAACTGAGAATTCAACTTTATTTTTGGACCATACACTTTCGTCCTCCTTATAACTTTAATTGCTTATAAAAGGCAAGGGATGGTAGCTGTGGAAAGCATCCATATTCCTCAGCATAGAATTCTGCCTTTCTACTTCTTCTTGAATTGCAGAATTACATAAATATAATATACGTGTGTGTATATATATATATATATATATATATATTATCAAATTACTTTCTCATGCAAACTTGAAGTAGTACACTTATCCAGAGATTTAAGGACTCCATGGCAAAGGAGCTGACAGCTACTTTCGGACCCTATGGTTGTTATGAACCACCACTCAGTGGAATGACGGAATTTATAGCACAGTTAGAGAATTAATTATATACTCTGGAGATTAAATTTATTCCATTTAAGTTGTCTATGATGATGAAGGAAAGCCAGTGTCGGGAAAGAGGCATGATGGTAAAGCCGGCCGACCACACAGGGTAAGATATATATATATATTTTAATTTTTAAATTTGCGACTAACTTACAAATTTATTTGATTCTATGTGTCATGTGTCTCATGTTTTGTGAAATCTAGTTAGGTAGACAACATAACATCTCAAAAAATAAGAATAAATAAATAAATCATTAGGGACTGTACCATAGTATATATGTATATATTGTGAAGTAAGAAAAAGAGATATCTTTCCAAAAAAAAAAAAAAAAAAAAAAAAAAAAAAAAAAAAAAAAACAGAAAGAAGGAAGGAACAGAAGAAGAAGAAGAAAATTAAACTATGTGACTAAAACGATTTAAACAAATCTAATTAAGCCACATTAGCATTTCGAGTTTCAAATCTTCAAGTGACGTTCACATCACACTGATGAAAGTATATCGATTAATCAAATCCTCTTTTAGTCAGTTTCTTGTGGCATAAACTTTAGGGAATTGAAATCTATCAATTGTTCCCGGTCCTCTTCACACTAAGCATATACTCGAACATCATTATCATTTCAACTTATTAATTATTGCAATTACAATTTTGTTTTCCCCACTTATTGCTTCTACAATTGGTTATTTTAATCCTTGATCATATATGCATGCATATTTATTATCTTAAAGACAAGATTCAAATCATATCATATAAATAGAGACAGAGGCGACATAAGCTTGGGGGCACCTTCCTTCATGCTCCGCCCCTCCCCGTCCCGTCCAATATATTGTATATATAATTTTTACACACACGTGTGTGTGTGTGTGAGAAATTTTGCTTAATATCCCCTTTAAAATTTTTATTTGCTAAAAATATCTCTTTATTTTTTTTCTTGCTTTTATTTTTACTATTTATTTTCCTTTCATTCTCTTAAAAAAAAAAAGTTATATTCCTCTTCTTCAATCAAACCCTATTTTTTTTTCCCCAAAGTTCTCTCTCATTTTCCTTTTCTTTTTCTTCATCTTCTTCTTCTTTTGTATTTTGTATTTTTTGTTTTTTCCTTTTCCTTAAAATTATTCATTTTGTACTCATAACTTTTTTTCTCATCTTATTTTATTTTATTTTATTTTATTTATTATTATTATTATTCTCTTCTTCTTATTTAAATTTATTACTGTAACTTTATAAACTCAAAACGTTAAAAAAAAAAAAAAAAAAAAACTTTATAAACTCAAAATGTGCATTATATATATATATATATATATATATATATATATATATATATATATATATTTGAATTTTTATTTACGATATATTTTACGCGCATACTGACTTACTATTTGATCTTACTAATGCACTGTGACTGCAATTATATATTTAGGATTTCTGCCTTCACTTATAGTTGTCATGTTAGTCAGATTATTAATATTATTTTTTTTACTTTATCATGTTGAATATGCCTCCCCTTAAATAGATTCCAATCTCCATCTATCATGCATCGCTAAATTGATTTAGACTAATTAAATCAATGAAAAAAATAGGGCAGTTACCCAATGTGGCATAGATAATGAGACGCCTATCATGCATCGCTTTTAAAATACAAATACAAAAATCCATCAACGACAATTGTAATTGCAGTGAATGAAAATATTACAAATCAATACTTTGAATCTTATATTTCTTAAGCATTTATTTTGCAATGTTTTTATTTTATTATTATTATTTTTTGGTTTGCCTTTTGATTTGAATAATATATTTGATATAAAATGACACATACATATCATAGGACTCGACAATCCACATTATGAAGCATACAATTATATATACATATCTTAATATACAATCCTATAAATTTGTGACGTGAATTTTATTTCGGCCGGATCCTATTGTGATCTGATTTTGATCCAATTATTGTGTTTTACTAGTGGAAAAAAAGAACTTTTTTTTTTTTTTCGCAGATCATGGAACTGGATTCTATTCTCTATTATAACCTGGTTTTATAGTGTGATATGAGAAAACATTGAAAGACGAAATTGGGAGTTTGAGAGAGACAAAAGATTGTGGGCTTGAAAACTTGTAATTTCCTTCTTTTTTTGAGTGAAATATTTTTGCCAATTTTCGCAGTGATAGTTACATTTTTCTGTTATTATTATTATTATTATTATTATTATTGTATTTGTGGTTTATCGGTATTTGTTGTAATACCTAAGTTTATCATTGTTCATTGAAATCGTACAGGTGTTATTGAAATATCCTACCGAGTACCTGGTTGCAATATCAGGGTATTGTGGGTATTATCAGAAGGCATATCTTGTTGTGAAATCTCTTACGTTCCACAGCAATAAAAAGATATATGGACCATATGGTAAGGAAGAAGGAATTGATTTTATAACCCCGTTATCTGCTGGCAAGATTGTTGGATTCTTTGGAAGGTATGGTGATTGCGTGGATGCGATTGGAATACACGTTAGGCCATTCAATGGAATATCCGATTCGAATTCGGAGGATGATAAAAAATTTAAACAATGATAATGAGCCACCTTTTAGTAGTATTTTAATAATTTAACTGCATTTGAGTTCGATGCAGTTACAATAATGGATGCTCTGTATTGTCTTTGAGACTCTTGGTGAAAGTGGTTAAGGCAACACAAAGTCTGTGTGTAATTTCAAGTAATTTTCATGTTTTCTTGTATGCTAGGCCTAAAAATTTGGATTGGTGATGTATTTTGTGATATTATATCAATTAACTGATAAGATATTGTATGTTATCTTGGGTGAATTTTATAATACATTGGTGGTTGTAATTGCAAAAGAAGAATCTTGTTGGTTTTGAAAAAAAATTATGCTCCCTATTTGGTTTAAATATATGATTTGAAATAAATGAGCGACTTTGGCTACCAAGTCTCAAGTGATGCAAATAAATGGGATGCAGTAGATATAACAAAAAAATAAAATTGATTGGAATTGGAAATAAAGTATAGGAAATTAAATAATGAAAAACTAAATAGCCAGACTAAACTAATATGAATAGATAGGTTAAAGATATTGAATCTCCGCAATAGTACCAATAGTTTTATGGCACTCCATTACTGTTATCAGTAAAATAAAATGTTAACAAAAAGGCCCTTGTTTAGAGTTATATCGCGATTCTAACCTCGTCTAAAAAGTTAAAAAAACCATCTATAGACTATTCTTTAATTCAAAATAACCACAAATCTTTCACAAAATCTCACATCAATTCAAAACCCAAAGAGAAACTGTTTTATTTTATTTTATTTTATTTTATTATTTATTTATTTATTTATTTATTTTTCCTTCAAATTGGATTCATCTATGCAAAATAAAATCTCTTTAGAACCCAAAAGAAAACTATTGGATAAATATATGCTTCAAATGACATTTTAGATATAACTAATCTTATACTAATATGCCATGAAATAATTAATAATATGCTAAAAATAATTAATTAAATATGCAACTTGATATTTAATTAAAAATTCAAATTAAAGCAATAAAATAATAATAATAAATAAAGAACTTAAATCGAGACTAGTATTGGATACTATGTCCTTGAGACAATTTATGCCTCACATAGTGTTGACGGATTCTGTGGTGCTTATCTCCCAGGATACAATGGTTTACATCCACCAGTAGCAGTACTATAAACTTGTGGATATGGTGCACTGTGTAATACTCTCTTTGACTCAAAAATGCATCTATATTGTATAAATGTTGAATTGGGTGCAATCCTAACCAAATGGTTCGGACTAATCTTAATATGAGCCGATGAAATTGGATTAGGGTCTAAGTGACTTGGACCACTTGACCTATGGTTTGAACCCACTTTGGTTAGGTTCTAGTCTAGAGAGGGAGAGAGAAGAAAATGAATTGAACGAATTGCTAATGGCATCCCAAGGGGGTATTTATAGAAATAGAATTGCCTTTTCGGATTAGGTGTGTCTTTTTCATCATTAGACACAACTATTTATACATGTTTCTTCATCACTGGACACAACCATTTATGTGTGTCTCTTCATCATTGGACACAACCATTTATATGTGTCTCTTCATTACTGGACACAACCATTATAGTATGTTGTAATGGTTCACATTGAATAGATTATGTCTGTTGGTTTTGAGTTGCATCTTTTCATCCCACAATCAACCTGTGATCATGCCTGTTAAGTCAAAAGCATTTGTTGAAGACTGATGAAATAATTTTCATTCAAAAATTCTAACAATCCCCCACATGAATAGAGATTGGTTGCTTAAATGCAAAAGATGATCATGCAAACACTAGAGAGAGTATAGTCAGAAAGTTATTACACTAGGATAGGTAGCTTTTGGCCATGAACCTTTCCTAGTGTATTACTATCAGATTTACTGGCTAACCAGTGAACATGATGTCTTGAACTGTTCAGCTGTTGATTTAAACCAAGACAATAGCAAACACACAATTCCCTTCCTCACAAAGTTGGTTCTCATTGTTATGTTCATTTTGGTCCTAAACAACAACTGATATTCAATGAGTGTTCCACAAAACTTAGTCTTTATAGTTTTTATAGAAGCGGCCTCACTTCACATTCATATAGGTGACTTTAATTAAGAGTATCCTACCATACCCCACTTGAATTTTAAGGTATAAGAGTCATTAAAAGCGTAACTTATCCTAATCTTCACTGTAGGTGTTCGGCTCGCAGGAAAGCGCCGATTCTGCTCTTCGGATCGTGTGGAATGTGGAATGGTGGAATAGAATAACGTGGGGTGCGGGCGTGCCAGGAACTACAGTAGTTCTAAAGTAAAAATCCGAACAACTATCCAGTTGTAAATTTATAGGGATCAGGTGATTGTACGAAGGTCTAGAATGGCTACATTCGAATGGTCTTTTTTGCCTTTGAACAAGGACTTCAAACTATTCTATGGCTAATAGAAATGAAGATGGTATTGAAGTACAAGTGCTGAAATTAAAGTAATTGAAGTGCAGGACTTGGAATGTAAGAAAGGAAGTGCATGACTGAAAATTTAGAGAATTGAAGTGTATGATTGAAAATTTAGAGACAAGGAAATACAGTGCTCGGCTCGGCTAGAAGAAACGAAAAGAGTGTTAGACTTAACTCAAACATTACGAGAATTCATTGCTGAAATGAATGCTATATGGAATAGCAAAGTACTAGACTCAACATAAAAAATATATAAATTCATTGCTGGAATGGAAAGTACATGGACTAGCAAAGTGCTAGGTTTAGACATAATGTAAATTCATTGTGGAAATGAGACATACATGAATAGCAAAGATGCTGAATTAATGTGTTGTTTGGGCTGAGCAAGCAGGATTTGCAAACTAGCCTTAAGTGCTCTATTTATAGAGCTCTTCCATGCATACAGCAGCTTGATGTGGCAGCTCCAGCAATTTCCACGTGGCTTTTCCTCAGACTGCCATGTGTCCTATGATCTTTCAGCCTTCTCTAAATGTTGCCAAGTGTAAAACCATATTCTCCCATGATCTACAACTGATAAATAATGGTCTTTGGCAGTTGTATACATGTTTGTAAGCCTTCTCCCACGTTTTGGAACTGCCTAGATGGAAAGGCAGCAGTTTCAGCAGTAGTTGCAGCAACAATTGAGAAATTATATCTGGAAGGTCCGGATCATGCCATGTGTCCCATGTTTTCCTTAGTCTTCTCATAGTGTTGACACATGTAAGAACATGTTCTCCCATGATCTAGAACTGATAAATTGTGGTTTTTGGCGATTGAATGCATGTTTGTAAGCCTTTTTCCACATTTTGGAACTGCCTAGATGGAAAGGTAGCAGTTGCAGTAGCAGTTGAGAAATTCTACCTGGAAGGTCCAAATCATGCCATGTGTCCTACATTTTCCTTATCTTTCTTTGGTAAATGCATTATGTTTTCAGCCTACTTTGCTGATTTTTAGCAACATCCTCACCTAAATAAGGCAAGTGGATGCCTTATTCTTGGAGTGACTCCTATAAACTAGGAGATATTATAGGAGTGGGGGAGTTGTCATTCTTGATGACTAGGTCAAAGGTACACATAGCTTTCCAGATGTTTGCCACGTGTCCACTTGGAAAGTCCACGTCTTTCCAACTGCAGATCTTGTACCAAATGGCTTCATTTGATGAAGCCATATGTTGCTTCATGATTGTGTTTTTGCATATCACCTTTACCACGACAACCATTCCAGCTGGAAAATATTTATAGTATAAACAGTAGGTAGCATTATCTAATCATAGAAATGGGTAGAAGATTTATATCTTCCCAATGCTTCTACTGAGCCATTTAGAATTTCAGTTGTCCCTTTGAATCTAGATCTTGGGATCTCCAGTCAGCTAGGTTAGGTTTCCATTAAGATGACTCATTAGCTTTCGGCTTTAACCCCATTCCCCTCGATTATCTATATAATTGCTCTCTAGTACAATCCTCAATTTTATATGTGGCCTTACGGTTGTATATATAAATATTATACTCTGCAGAGATTTCCCCAATTGAGAGTAAATGTATACTTTATGCCCCAAAATTGGTTATTAGCAATATCCTTTTTCTTTAGTGGCACAAGTGCAAACTTACTTTGAAATGTCCTCTAGGTGAAATCTATTGACTTTCCTATTTGATTTATTCAAAGTTTCTAACTTTGAGTTATATTAAGAACGTACAACTACACCTTTAATATTAAATACATATCCATCATTGGATTTGAAGTCTTTAATATCTTACATCTAGATTGCATCATTGTTACACCTCCAATTTAGTTAGATACCTCAATCTATGCAATATTTGACTTAGAGTGTATCTCAACTACCTAATTTATTGCTTTTCAGTGATCCTATCCTGAATTAAAAGTGTGCAATTAATCACAGTTATTAAGATGCCTTGCAATCTCAACCAGTGATATACTTTGACTAGTATTTATATTTGAGATTTACATTTGCAAAAGTTAGCTAGGATTTATCATAACTAGTATTATCTCAATCTTACTCTATTGAGAATACACTATGTTATCAGATGTTAAAATTTTCATATCAAATACATTAGTTAGTATATCATCAATGTTTTAAGGCATACAATGACTTGTCTACCACATTTATGTCATTGTCTCAGTTCTTGCTTTAATCCACTTAAGGACTTATAAGCTTGCACACTTAACTCTTCAGTTGGAGCAATGAACTCTTCTAATTGTTCCATAATATTTTTCTCATAGGAAACAATATGCATAATTGTTATAATACTATAAATGATTTTTGGCTCTATCCTAAAACTTTCAGGACTCGAAACCTCCCACATTTATAAGTATTTCTCTTAAGATGACGTGACTCATAGTAAATTTCATTTATGAATAATATATTCCCACAACTTTGGGATAATCCTGAAATTTTATCTCTGATGTATTAATTATGATTTTTCAACACTTGAAATACCATATACTAAATACTTCACTGCATTTACCTTTTCAGGATTCCATATTCGTTCTCAATAAGCATGTATAACAATCTTTGATGCACATATACTTATTTTATCACTTTATCTCCAGCCTATTATATTGGAACTCCGGAGTTAAGCCTAGTTAACTTGAAGTAATACTATTTGGCTCACAAAGTGGTCTGAGGTCGCTAGCCAATGAATGGTTGACTTCAAACACGGGCGTGCCAAAGTACTGATAGACTTGAATATTTCTTGCCAAACTATCCCTATCGGGTCGGGTCGCCGACCTAAATTGATTCAGGCGAAAGTTGGAGAGTATGAATGACCCTC